AGAGGAAGCATCGAACAAAAGGCAGTATTGCCAAGGTTTGAATTTGAAATAGCACCAAATTTTTTTATTTGTGTATTTTATAGACTTTATATGCATACACAATTTTATTGTAAGGATGCCGATTCAAATTAATAAAATCAATGTTGCACGACGGTCGATTTCTTCTGGCATGATTGAAGGTGCTGCCACATATTGTGTTGTCGCTTATGATTGTCACTGTACCATGATTTTGTTTAAATTTTTATAAAGTCGCTTACCACAATTACGATTGTTATAAATTTTGCTTTTATTTTTTAAAGATTTTCTGATTTGGTGTCTTCAAACTAAAAACAAAAGCATCAAAAACGCAACAAGCACCAAACTCAAAAATTTTCGCGTTTTGAATACCCACTAAATTTGGTGCGAAAAGCATCAAGTTGCCAACAGTGAATGTAAAAAAAGTATTTTATGATGTCAGCGATTGGGTGGATGCTGTCAAATCGACGAAGAGAGGGTTAGCGTTCTGCGAATGGCGCGACCTTTATTTTCTGGATCGTGAATCACTACATCCATGCAGCTGTCTAATATTTAAGAAAGCAAAGAAGTTTAATTCTGGTTCGTTGCTCCCTAAATGTGCAACTTTTTTGGGAAAGTTTAAATGAAGTTCACGTAAAATGAAATAAGAATATCACACGGAAGAAAGCTCGATTTGTTGGTTGCCGCAAAGCATGCAATGCTTGCAAACATCGCCATCGCAAGTGAACAATCATTTTAACATCGCATACTCTTTATAGGCACGAATGATAGATTACAAGATTGCGCATTCCCGGCAAAGTCTTATTTAGTTTTACAATCAATTTAGGACTTTTATGGTTTCCTTATAAAATAGTGCGTAAAACCCTCACCAAAATTGAAAAAAAGCCAAAAAGTAAAAAATTAATGTCTTTGCTGGGTAAATACTCACAGATCTCTTAAAGATTCTTCATTCTCATATATGTATATCATTAGAAAGGCCTAAGTTTCTTCTTTTTAAACCTGGCAATAAACTGAAACTTGTTCATAATTAACTAAGTTACTGGCTTATAAGTGCGCAAATGTACGAAAAACCGGTTTTTAACGGTAAATCAAGATTTTGGGGGTGCTTGACAAATTTCATATTTTGATTCTTGTTTTACTCGAAAGGACCTACCTGAAAATATACATAACTTCCCAGGTGTTTTCTAGTGTCGCACAGTGTAATTAAAAAAAAAAAGAAATACTTAATTCACCTACGTACTAGCATTTTCAACGCGAATACAATTTAACGAGAACGTGAGTTTGCAACTTCAGTTTTTTATCATTTATGGCGGTATTTTAGTGCATTTAAATTTGTAGATTCTTGTAAGTTCAGTGCTGCCAGATCTTTCAAATTATTTCATGTTTTAACTGTCTATTACCTAGTTAATATGGCATCATGCGCGGTATCGAATGTACTCGTGTCAGTGTAGCTCGCTTGAAATGCAAGTTTTTATATGCAACAAAATGTAGTTTGAAGAACTATTTAAATATTTTACTTCATATAGAGTTGCATAAAACAACCGTGTGAACAAATCCCGTGTATATATGCACTCTTAACACGATTCAACAACTCTTAGGCACTCCGCACATTAAGCTCCTAATCATTTCGGCATACTAAAGTATACATTACGATTCAAAATCATGTTTTTGCCTAATCAAAAGCTTCATGAATCGGAGCGCCCAATATTGTAAGGCGCTTGCAGTTTTGAAATCGTCATTTGTTTACTTTTTTGTGTTGGAAATAAAATTAATTTGTCGATTCAATAGAAGTAAATTGAAAATGAATGATTTCGTGCTAAAATTCGTGCAAATTGTATTAAACCACAAGCGTTTATGCAATATTTCGGAGCAGAAATATTTTCGGAAGTGCGTAGTTGCGAAAGAACGGCCAGAAAATTTGTTATGTGTAGAAAGTGTTTTTTAGCTGGTGAGTTATGCACGGCGTGCAAGTGTGCAGAAGTCGAGCAGCGTTGCCAATTTTGGTACTTTCGTACCAAAACTGGTACTTTGAAAATTATTTGGTACGTTGGTACGTTGGTACGTTGTTTTTGATTTTGGTATTTTTTCCTTAAAGTTCGGGACAACAATATTTTGTTTTTTATTTCCATATATGTTCTATATATTATTTTCATTCGTTAATTAAAAGTCCAATAATTTAAACGAGAGCGTCAATATAATTAAATCGTCAGTACGCGAAAGTCGACTATAGTACGCATCCTTGCGAAAGTCATCGCAAAGCCATCGATGTTATGAAAACATCGACTAACAGTGTGCATCTTTACAATTCTTGTAAACTACACAATAAATATATGAATAAAGACAGACGAGTTTTAATGGAAATAGATGANACAATAAATATATGAATAAAGGCAGACGAGTTTTAATGGAAATAGATGATGGACAAGTAAGAAAGCAAAATTTATTTGAAGTGGAATAAATTTATTAAATTTGTGGTTTGTTTGCAGATTCGTGATTAAAAAGAAAAGGGAAAATTACAATAACACACATCAAGAAGCCTCAAATTAAGGAGGCATGTCAGAGACGTAAGTGTTTGTGGATTTGTGTTAAATATGTACATACATACATACATTCATATGTATATGTAATATTTCTATTTTGAATCATATTTTTCAGTGCTGAAATCAAAAGAAAGTTTAGAGNTTGTTAAATACCCTGCAAAAAATGGGACTAATCCGGGATGACTCCGGGAGCAATCGCAAAGGAGCATGCGACTAATACCATGTTTGATCTCTTTATATGGAATGAACTGTTCGCTTTTGTTCGAGCATGTCCTATGAAGAGACTAATTGTTCACCTTTATACCCGAACGGGTATAAAAAGCGACTAGTCACTTTTAAAAAATAAAAATAAAAATGTGCGCCAGCTGAGATTCGACCGGGGTGCTCAGTTTTGTTAGGCGAATACCCTCTCTGTGTCCCAATGCCGCACATGAAATTCATTGACTAAGTGCGTACATATCATCCGATCGAGAGTAGTCTCGGAATACTCTCCCCTGCAAAAAATTGTGCGACTAATCTCTAAAGAGAGATTACTCTCAATCGGGTATAATTGGGCATTAATTAGTCGCAACTAGTCTCATACGGGTACTAACGGAGATCAATTATGGAGATCCCTTATGGGTATAATTGGAGATCAATTAGTCCTCAACTCATCTCTAACGGGTACTATTAACGATTTAATGATATGTACGCACTTAGTCAATGAAATTTTATGTGCGGCGTTGGCACGCAGAGAGAGTATTCGGCTAACAAAACTGAGCACCCCGGTTCGAATCTCAGCTGGCGCAAATTTTTATTTTTATTTTTTAAAAGTGACTAGTCGCTTTTTATACCCGTTCGGGTGTAAAGGTGAACAAACATCTGTTTCCGCAAAAAAGAGCTTAGTAATAGTAGTTAGATATGTCGCCAATCTAATTGTTCGCTCTCGCTTCCTTGCTTTAATGGAATTGCCAAAATGTGACGCAAATTTAGTGTTTGCAGCTATTAAAGATTTTTTCCGTGCATATGAGATTCCAATTGAAAATGTTATTGGCTTGGCTACGGACGGAGCAAGCGTAATGGCGGGACATTTAAAAAGCGTTAGAACTCTATTAGAAGCGGAAACAGATATTTTTTTACTTAAAATGTACATGTCACTCACTCCACCTCTGTACAGGCTATGCTTGCAAAAAATTGGCACAGCAAATAGAGTGGCTGTGTCGAAATATTTAGGGGTTTTTCTCGCACAGCCCTAAACGAGTATACGATTTTATAGAATTTCAGAACTATTGTGCGGTAAAACCACACAAAATTTTAGGGATATCCCATACAAGGTGGTTCTCATTAGAAGGAGTTATTTTGCGCATCCTTGAACAATGGGATAGTGTAAAGCTATTTTTTATTAGTTCAAAACCAGAGGTCAATGCGCTCCGATCTGATCAGTTGGCTGAAAAAATGGACAATGAAACCAAAGTTTNTAAAGCTATTTTTTATTAGTTCAAAACCAGAGGTCAATGCGCTTCGATCTGATCAGTTGGCTGAAAAAATGGACAATGAAACCAAAGTTTACTTTTTATTTTTATTATATGTGCTGCCGTTAATAAATAACTTAAACAAAGACTTCTAATCAGAACAAAGCCGCTTGCCGTATCTATATTGTAATTCCTTGTTCATTTTAAGCAATTTTATTAAAAAAGGCACACCACCTGAAGTCAATATTGATTACAAAAATGTTTCTAATCATATGCAAAAAGACAAAATTTTCATAGGATCAAAAGCCGAAATATTTTTATCGAAAACTAATCTAACACTTGGGCAAATAAATAAAATAAATGACAGTATTTTAAAATTTTATATTGAGCTATTAGACCAAGTCAAAATGCGGTTTGATTTTAATAGAAAAGATCTTGAATTGTTAAAAATTATAACACCTTTTGAAGTTTTGTCTGATAGGGATAACTTTATATTTGATCTCATTTTAAAATTTCAAAATTTAAGTGATGATAATGATAAAGTCAGTAGCCAATGGACTTTACGTAAGTTAAGCGACCATAATTTGAAAAGCGATTTGGATATTAATTCTTTTTGGCAAAAGGCAGGAAGCTTTAAAAATGGATTGGGCGAGCTAATGTTCCCGGAACTGACCAATTTTATTTTTAATTTATTAACTTTGCCGCATAGCTCTGCAGATGCAGAAAGAAAGTTTTCGTCCCTTAATCTTATTAAAACAAGTCCTAGAAATAAGTTAGAAGTTAAGACTATCCATAATATTATGGTATGTAAAGAATTAGTTAAAAATTAAATGCATTATGTATGGTCTCCTGCAAGAGACTATAAGCCCATAAAGTGAAACCAAAATGCAGGCTTTGACAATCACGGAAAAAACTATTAGCACTAAGAACTTTCTACAATGTGTCCAAACATTTTTATTTTTATTTTTTTCTGGTAATTTTCCATGAAAATATAGTTTAACCTAAAACAAAAAAAAACATGAAAAAATATAATCTGCTTAAAAAGATTAAAATTCGCATGATTATATATTGAATTCCCTGAGATTTGATCAGAGAAATAATATTTTTATGTTTTTTGTTGTAGTATGAATTAAATTTTTATAAAAAATAGCGGAACAATTATAATTAAAAGTTTGCGTACATTGCAAAAAGTTTTCTGTGCCAATATTTTTTTCCGTGAATGTAGTTCCTTTTAGTTTGATTTTAAGCTTTAATTCTTTAAATAATTTTGTTAAAACTTAATATAGTGAAGTGAATTTATTTGTGGTAATTTATGTTTAAAACTTGTTGTTTCTGTATTGAAAAATAATAAATAAATAAAAACCATTCGTACTTTATTACTGCAAAATAATCTTTTTGGCACTCTCAAAAGCGTTTTGGTACGCTTTTTGGTACGGAAAAAAATTTGTGAGTGGCATCACTGAAGTCGAGTCGTCATGCATTCGTTTCGGCATGACGAAACGATTACTCTACTTTGATTAGACGCGTAATGTGCCGAGTGCCTTAACTCGCATCCAAAATGTGATTTATGTTATGTGCACGGTTAAAAGTTTCAATTCGATTTAAGAATGAGTTTACATGTGTGTGTCCAAATAACATGGTTTGACTTAGAACGATTTGAAGCATCATATAAACATGGTATATGATAGATTTGTGTTCAGAAAAAAAGCACTAAAAAGGCACTGGGCACTAAACCATTTTTCTTTTGCGTTTAAATTTGCAAAAAGGACTAAATCTAGTGCTTAAAGCACCAAGTTGGCAACTATGCTGCTCCTTGTCGAATGTTTTATCTCTTTCCCGGACGACTGTGACGAAACTGTGAAAAATCACTCTTATGCGGCGAAAGAAGTTTTACTTTAAAAAACAACAACAACATACTTTTGTCCTGCTTCACGGCCCCATGTACTCGGTATAGTTAAACATTCATCCCCGCCGTGAAAAAAGCGCAAGACATCGCCGCCAAAAACATATCCGACATATTTCACACGCGAAATACCGGTACCATAAGGCTGTACTGACCAATGCGTTACGTGAAAACTGGCATTTACAATGGACTGTTCGTTTTCCTTGGTTGTGTGCTGTAGATGCATATACATATAAAGTTATTATTATTGACAAAAGAATAAATTGCTTAAAAACATGCACGTACCAAATACCGTTCTGTGGCCACCGAGACTAAAATCAAATCATCGCCTACTCGCACTTTCTCACCTTCAGATCTTTGTTTACTTGCTGGATGCACTGTCCACCAGCAAGCTTCACCTTGGCTGTGTTCTTGCAATCCCACGTCGAAAGACAATTTGTCGTTCGAAGAAGAGGTAGACAGGCAGGCCAAATACTGCAAGCAGATATTAAATTTATTTGAATTAGTGTAAATCTTCATATTTGCATACATATGAACATAATTACATTTTAAGATCAGTAAACCAATAAATCTTATTAACACGTTTACTTACCATATCACTATTGTGATGCCGTAAGAGTATCGCATTTCCATAAAGCAAAGTTCTGTGACCGGATCCAGTACCTTTGCCCTGAAATTTACAAATTTAATAATAAGTATTTATGCGTTTACAGTTATCTTTGTGACTGTTTTTATTTCTATAATAAATTCCGCAATAAAATCATTAAATTCAAAAGAATCGCACGTTTATTGCTGCATATAATATATTGCAAAAAATGGACTATACAAAAGGGTTTCGCGCTTATATAGAAAAATTAATACATATTACAAATATATCATATTAAAGCAAATGGAATCTAAGAAACAATAGAGATATCAAGGTAGATACACATATAGTTATCAATAAGATAGGGTCATATATGTAATACTTCTATATTGCTAGTACAATCTGATCGCAATGAGTTTTCCATTCGAAATCAAAGAAAGACAGCCTATTAAAATTTTTGTGATTGTAGAAGTATACGTGTATATTTGTAAACTACTACATAGAATGAAGTGCCATATCATAACAGGGACGGTTCAGGGAATTCAACAAACAAACACAAATTTGACGGTCTGATGTTTCTTTCACGCTTTTTTCAAAATTTAATTTTGATGCATAAATGCCTCTTAGAGCACCTGCATCAAAAAGCAAATTTAAAAAAATATATATATACCTACATTATTTTAGCGGTTAGGGCTCGGTATGACGAATTTTTCCGATGCTCCTCGTTATTTGGAAATCTGAAAAATTGGAAGATAGAAGATCTTTTCCTAACAAAGACAAAACTTATTTACACATAAAGCGGTGTGGTATTTTATATGTTGGCCGAAACCAATAAAGCACGAGTTCAGTGCAAACTTCATTTCTGGGTCATCCTACAGTGGAGTGATCGGAAGGGAATTGAGGCATGCTTCTATACGCGAGGCCAGGGTCCGCAATTGAGTGTATCACATTGTATGATAACCCACGCAGCGAACCAAATGATGCTTAGCAGATTTACCCGAAACCTCCCAGAGACCACACTGGTGGTGCGCACAAGAAGTGATGAAATTCTACTGGGTTCACATGTTCGCCTACGAGCGTTGGTTGTTCTCATTGTACCACGCCACCAGGTCTTCCTGGACCAGTCCATCCGCCCCCATGAACGCCGTGCTGTTATCGCTACATAAATCGCGGCAAGGACCCTGCCGACTGATGAAGGGAGTAAAAGCGTTGAAGAACGCTTGCGGAGACAGATCATCCACCACACCGATGAGAACGGCTCTAGTCGCCATGCATACAAAAATCGCCAAGTATGTCTTCACGCGAGTGCGAGAGCGTTTTGTGCCAATCCGTAGAGTGAAAGGACCGCAATAATTCATTCCAGAGGATACAAACGGTCTTGCAGGTTTAACTCGTCCGGGTAACGAACTCATTTGCCGCTTGAGCATGGCCTCTCGATGGCGTCGACACACGATGCAGTCGTGTACAAAAGACTTGACGGCTTGCCTCACGTTTTAAATCCAAAAACGGCGTCGAAGTATATGCAGCGTCAGCTGTGCTCTTGCATGTAGCGTTCACGGTTGCCATTTCCAATTTATTTTTCGGACCAAAAAATGGACCAAATGTTAAAAAATTTACCAATTTTTATTACATCGGGTAATCGAGTGGAGTTTATACCTCTTTATCAAGAAAATATGACAATTCAGTTTTTATATCGACTTTTTTTTATATAACATCCAAAGTGCATTAAAATTGTATATTATTAACATTATACTATTTATAGTTTTATATTATAATTTGTTTTTTAAATTTGATTTTACTAATGATGCGCTCAGCTGCTGCGGAACTGTGAGGTAGATTAAAAATATTATGAACTAATCACACAATTCTCCAAAGGCCGCTTCACCCACTCTATCTTTAATCACACTTACTTGATCCCAAAAACGGTCTATATAGGTAAATTTTTTGAATTTACCTTCACTCAGCCTCAATTTGCGAAATTGAAATTCAATTATGTCTGCATCATTTTTACCGATTCCAGAAAATGGGCGAGTAGCGCAAAATTGATACATCAGTATCAGAAAGAACTTTATGTGGTGTAATAATTTCAAGATGTTTAATATCTTTTCGATTGAAATCGAATATTATTTTCATGTGCTAAATGCTATGATTTAAGTTTAGCTACCTTTCCATTTTTTTACCAGCCACTTTAGTCACCGAGTAATTGAAATTAGCAAGAAACCGCGGTATTGCCATATACATGCCATATTTGAAGATGTGGCAAGGCGAGTTCACACTTTTAGCAGGTGTTGCCAATCGGCCCTATGCTGAATATCGTCATCGTCGACGATCGTCAGCGCATCAGTAACATGGCTGACGATGTCCGTATCGTCACTTTTACTGACGATGAACATGTTCAACATGGGGCGGAATATTCATCAATTAAATAGAAAAAATTGAAAACGCGAAACTATTGCATGATAATAATCCTGACCAAAGGCTTGTGAAATGGACCATTTTCAAAAGAATTGGACCAATGGACCAAACGAAAAGAAGTGGACCAAATTTGGTCCATTTGGACCAAAACGGCAACCGTGTTCGCGTTGTCTCATGAGCTTGTCGGATTAAGAGGACGGAACCTCGGCAAGATCATCGGGAATCGCTAATCCTGTCTCATTTCCGCCTTAAGGAGTCGACCTCAAACACGTAGAATCAGGTGCTCATCTAAGAATGGATTTATTGAGAGAAACTTATTTAAAGATGACAAACCTGAGTTGCCCTTCAGCAGAATCAATACTTCGTCATCTAACTCTCGAGCACTTACAACATGTTGACGAAAGTGTCGACGTCTCGGTATCGTATCAGGAAGGTCACTGGCCTTAGTAACGGCGGGATGGAACTGAAGCGGATCCAATAGTCGGGCGACCTTCCTAAGCATTCTTCTCTTGGAGGGAACGTCTCTTGTCTGCTCAAGCTCAACTCAGCAGTCACCGAATCTCATTTAAATCCCAGGACCGAAATCTAGCCGGAGTTGAATGTATAATTGGAAATAGAGGCGTTACTCGCCAAACACATCGTTACATGATTATTGTTTGAATTCTATTTGCTCAGCCTAAACTTCCCCGCAGATAAAATATCATCTACTTTCCTCGCGAGTTCTATTCTTTCACTGAAATTCGCACAGCTTGTCAAAAAGTCATCAACATAGATCTAGGTCAGGATTGCAAGAGCCGCTTGCTCCTCGTCTCGAATTATATTGTAGTTATCGACTGCATTCTGTTGAAAAGCAGGTACGACGTTGTAAGGGCTTCAGAAGATAAACACCGATATTCTACAGGTGACTCTCACCATATGATTCTATGGAAGTCGGAAATAACTAGAAGCCACCTGAACATCTTCTCAATGTCAGCGGTAATCGCCACTGGGTATCTACGACATCGCAACAGTATGCTTACAAGTAAGTCCTGAATGGTCTTGCGATCTATAATTAGGCTAAGCTGCGATCCCGGATTGCGCAAGATACGAGCCATGCGTTGAACCAATGCCTCTCCATAAGCATATGCCCGCGCAGTTGCCAGAAAAGTTATCGGCTTCGGTTGGGCAACGATGGCTGTTGCAGGAGATGGCGAGGCTGGCTGTACAAGAATGGAAACTTTGTAGCGGCATAAAATGTTGTTATGCTTGCGGGCACAGATCTTGCAACCACCCGATGGACACTGCTTTAAAGAATGTACACTCCGTAGACAATTGTAGCAAAGCTTCAAATTTCGTATTGCTCCGAACCGCTGCTCTGTTGGCATTGCTAGGAGTGTCCACCCTCAGCAGCTGCCACGTGCGACTTCACCGAGCTTTGCTGCTATGAGCCCGTCTTCACGAAATTTCAGAAAATCCTCTGGTAGAGGTATTTCGTTAAAAGAACATTTTTATTGACTATATTACTTTTATTGATTTTATTTTATTTAAGCTTACGACGGTGTTTAAACGCGAGATGGTTCCTTCTACAGAAAATAAAACATCCGCGTTTAAGCTCGTAATTTTAACAATTTTCTTTATTGTTTACATACACCTATACACCAAGTTTATTAAGACCAAGAGATAAGGAAGGGTTGCGCGCGCTCATGGACTGTATGATGTATGCATGCTGTCGAGCCGGTAGTGAAAACAGTGACAGCATACATATTGCTTTAGGGTGCGCACGAAAGTCTGGGTAATAACGCATATTGAAGCGGATGCTTCAACATCCTGGGGCCCCCTGCAGGATTAAGCTGTAAAGCGCATTCTGCAGTTTTTTCGGGTGATTCGTGAGAGATTACATAACGCTTGTTGACTTTCTGCGGGGTAATTGCGTATTGGAAGGACGCGCTTGATGGGAATTTGGTTGGTGACAGTTTTCGTTTTCCCTCTGGTTGTCGTGGCGCAGAGATATGACCTTTCGCTTCTGTACTAGAACGTGAGGAGAGTAGATGTCCATTTTCTGTAAGTAAAGGACCTGAGGGAGAATGCAGAATATATCGCTTTCTTTGGGTTTTAGGTTTTTTGACTATGTGGATGTGAGATAATGAGGATGAGTGCTGTTCTAAAGCTCGAGTTAATATTGTGGGTGGAATAACAAATTTTCTTGCATTGCTTACAAGCATCGAGTGGGTGAGCTTATCGGGGGTGACCATGTTTACCTTTATATGCTGGACGGCTTTCGCTTTTGAATGGCCATTGATTGGCCGCATCCTTTGATTGAGAATGCGGAGTTTTATGCCTTTGGTGATCAAAGGTGTTTGATCGTACGGCATACTTTTGAGTTTTAGTTATTTGGGGGTGCTGTTTTTGATGCACATGCAATAGGGAGTTGTGCCGGTTGTGGCAATAAATGCATGTGAAATGGGAAGTACATTCTACCAATTTGTGGGAGTAAGCAAGACAGTTCTCACACATATCGTGTGCTCTTGTGAATTCTTTACAGTCTTTAGTGCGGAGAGTCTTGAACTTTGGACATTTTTTTATTGGATGTGGGATCTTGCACAAATAGCAAGTAAACAAAAATTTAGTGTTTGTCTCTGGAGATCGAGTTTTATTATTTTTCTTGGGGACCGACTTCTTCGTAGATGCTTTTG